AAAAAAGAAAAAAAAAAAGTGTGAAGGTATCACCCTACCTGACTTTGAAATATACTAATAAAGCTTTATTAGGTAAAACAGTATGGTAATTGAAGAAAAACAGACACATACTCCAATGGAGCAGGAAAAAAAAAAAAAGACCAGAAACCGCTGACTTGAAGTTACAAACTAACTCCAGCAGAAATATTTATGGCTTATTATGGAGCATCAGTTACACAGCAAGTACCGTCATGTTTCCTTTTTTTTTTTTTTTCTTTTTGAGATGGAATCTCACTTTGTCACTGAGGCTGGAATGTGGTGGCCTGATCTCAACTCACTGCAACCTCCGCCTCCTGGGATTAAGTGATTCTCCTGCCGCAGTCTCCCGAGTAGCTGAGATTTCAGGCGCATGTCACCACACCCAGCTAATTTTTGTATTTTTAGTAGAGAATGGGGTTTTGCCATGTTTGCCAGGCTGGTCTTGAACTCCTGGCCTCAGGTGATCTGCCCATCTTGGCCTCCCGAAATGCTGGGATTACAAGCATCAGCCACCTTACCCGGCCTCACTGTCATGTTTCTTTGATACATTTATATACAAAAACATTCTCATGACTTATGAAACTTCCCTAGTACTTACCTAAAAAAAAAAAAAAGACTCAATAAATAAGTAAATTCACTTATGTCATCTATAACAAGTAAAACGACAATAACTAAAGTAGGCTTATATAGGCATCTGCAACTAAAAGAACAAAATGGAATGTTCTAAATAAAATATAACGTTATGGAATTATATCTAAAAATTGTGTACATTACTGAATTTTATAAAAAATTCTTATAATCATGACCAGCTCACGTAGTGGATACTTCATAAACTATAAAACAAAAAATCATAACAAAATTATAGGTCTGGCATGAGTACCAGGCAAAGAGTTTGTATGGAGAGATTCTGAACCATAAACCATACGGTTTTACAGTAATGAATTTAATACAAAGCTGAGAGCAAAAATTTGCTTTCAGCATTTTTGAGGTTTTTATTATCTAATAAATTAATCACCTCATTAAAACAATTTGTTTTGTTCCAATATTGCTCTATTCTTCTTTCCTGAAAATAGGTACAAACTCATACTCATATAAACACACTCACTCCATAATTTCTTTCCTAAGGTTTATCTTTAGAGTAATACATGTGTATTTTTAACTTCATGTAAATAAAAATTAAAAGTCTTTATGTGTTTGCAGGCAGAGAGGCCACAAGTTCAAATAAAAGTATATAAGAAATTTATAAAAATATGTATACAACTCACAAATGTATGCATTTTATTCATACTTCTAAATAATACAATAATAGAAATTACCCTGTAGTCAATATCTATTTATTTATTCATTTTGAGACAGAGTCTTACTGTCACCCAGGCTGGAGTGCAGTGGCACAATCTCAGCTCACTGCAACCTCCACCTCCCAAGTTCAAGTGATTCTCCTGCCTCAGACTCCTGAGTAACTGAGATTACAGGTGCTCACCACCATGCCTGGCTAACTTTTGTATTTATAGTACAGACAGGGTTTCAACATGTTGGCAGCGCTGGTCTTGAACTCCTGACCTCCGGTGATCCACCTGCCTCAGCCTCCCAAAGTGCTAGGATTACAGGCATGAGCCATGGTGCCTGGCCATCGGTAACAGTTTAATTGTACATTTTAAACTAACAAAAAGTGAGAAATTAAATTTTCTGTAATACAAAGGATAAATGCCAGAGGTGAGGCCATTGGTAACAGTTTAGTTGCACATTTTAAACTAACAAAAAGCATAAAATTAAATTTTCTATAATACAAAGGATAAATGCTAGAGGTGACAGATACCTAATTTACCATGAGGTGATTATTATATATTGTATGTATCAAAATATGCCATATATGGTTTAAATATATACACATACTATCTACCCAAAAATATTAAGTAAATTTAAATAAGAAAAAAAAATTTAACATACAGGAACAACATTCTTTAACTTCTTTGCAGTTTAAAACCACTAGCAAAAAAGATTACTACAGATACTACTTTATTACGTTAACAAATAATACTATCTTTTACCTACACTCTTGAGTAAGGTGGAATGGGTTAAGGTTAGTGGCAAAATAATGCTTTATTGAATGCACAATAGTATTTAACATGTTAAAAATGTTAAATTAAAAAGTTAGGTCTACACATAATTTGAAAGTTTTTAAATGTACTAGATTGTATCACATAAAAGTACAATTAGTAAAATAACACTATTAAATTTTAACTAAAATTAAAAATATTTTTCTCTCATAAAGCAGAATATTAAACTGAACACCTACTTCATGCATCACTCAATATTATAAGTTAACCACAAAGAGCATCCCTACTTAGATTTTCATCATATATCTTACATTTTAATGTCTTTACTCTTTCATAGAAGAGATAATAATGCCTACCTAATAAAAAACAATCTCTCATATCTTTCATGCAGGAACCATTCATCACATACTTTCACATATGAATGCAATAGGAATAAAGAAA